GCCGAGAGCTCAGTCAGGCGGCGGATTACCTCTTCCATTTGTCCTGGGGAAGAGAGCGTTTCTCCTAGAAGAAGCACAGAGATCGTTACAGCAACCTGGCGTTACAAGTCTGTGTCTCAATTCAACTGTAATGCCCGCATTCTCCACCATATGTCGCGGGGTGAATGAGAACACGGACTCGGTACTGATAGAAAGTGCCCCGGAGGGTGATTTATTGCCCACACACTGATCACACGTGCTCGGAGGAATGGTGCTCGGTGCCCGTCTCAACTCGGTGCTCGTGGGGTGAAGTGCCGTGGTGCAGATCCCTCTCCTGGGGTGCCGTCGGAGTCTGTGGATAAGGAGAAACAAGCATTAATGTCGCCTGGAGCTCCGTTGCAACTCCCCGCTGGTGTCTCTTCTCCTGGCTTTTATGGCCAGCGGGAACGAGCTCCAGGTGCGCCAATCATCACGCACAGGTGTTGTGCTTCTGTGATCAGTGTGGCAGCGGCGTTTCCTGGGCGACGCTGATCTGGAACCGGGATACTCGCCACAATATATATATATATATATATATATATACACACACATTATTCAACTGTTCATTTATACATGTAACATACGAATGATGTATGCCAAGTATGTATTAGTTTTTTATTATGTATTGTATTTTTTTTTAATTATTAATAGAAAGTTCAACAGAGCTTTTGTAACATTCTAAATGTCTTTACTGTCACTTTAAGTGCATCCTTGCTGGATAAAAGTATTAGTTTCTTTCAAATTTCTTTTGAACGGTAGTGTATGCGTCCAGCTGTATTCAAATAACTTATTAATATCTAAACACTTAGTATAACATGTAGGTCAAACAAGTGGATTTCGTGTATGAGTTGACTACGGTAATTTCTTGACTGAATAATATTTTGCTATTTCACACACGTGAGGTTCCAATGTTACAAATAGTCCAATAGGATGTTAGGACTGTTGATTCCGCTCTTGGAAATGGTTAGGAGCCGTTGCGTAAGGACAGAATGACAGAGAACAGCCATCAGGACACTGACCGCAGACAAGGAGTGAGAGCCAACAGAAACAGTCACTTTAAACGGTAAGATTCACTGCACTTGACATTTAGATTTTTTTTTCTTTTTTCACATGAGAACATTTTAATGTATGGTGCTTCATAGTAAAGTCCTAATTTGATTTGGTAATGAGAACGTTTTACAATTTTTAATGATCTTGCAAAAATATGTTTGGTGTCTCTTTGATATGGTTTTGTGTATTTTGACAGTATCTCTGATGTACAGAAGTCCTGGCATTCTGCTGTGTTTTTGAACTGAACAGACATTTTCATTTGCTCTTCTCCATGTTTGTGATGGATGAAGTTCAGATGTAGTTTGTCAGTCTAGAGGTTAATATTCAACTGTTCGTCGCATGACCTTGAAACCTTGCGTTTAGTACATTTACTCTTTATTTACACCTCAATATTTCGATGTTGAAACAAAAGTCCCAAAATTTGATGTAAATACAACCTGCTTTTATTCCTCAGACATGGAATCTGTATCATATGACCGGTTTACCACATCTGAGGCAGAAATTAATCATACGGGCCAAAAGTTATTACATGAATCAGGTGAGAGATTTTTTTTTTCATTTTATGAAAGGAATGTTTGTATATTATTGTTAAAAACTGTTTTGGAGAAAATTTTAACTCAAAATTAAGAATAAATCCCGACACCTTACTACTAAGAAAAACTAACATTTCTAGTAACCAGATAAGGCAGTGAAATACCATAGTAAATCCTTGTTTGTTAAAGGTGGGGGTATGTATTTAAAAAAAAATGCTTTTTCGGGCCGAGTACCAAAACAAACTTGTAACCAATCAGCAGTAAGGGGCGTGTCTACTCATGAAGCAGAGGAGAGAGCGCTCAGTGCACAGGATGGACATTAGCCGAGCCGAGCGACGACAGAAAGATAGAGATGGCGGATATAAAACAAAAGAGGAAAACGTCTGCGGAACAAAAGAAGGCTTAAGGCAATAAGGCAAGAAGTAGGACCCGTGTAAATATCGGATCAGCTTTCCAGCGATGGAGAGAACTCAAGGAGTGAGAAAGCCTGAGATCGGACACCGAGGTTGCTTTGTTTCTTCTCGATAGGTGAGTAACACCGTGTCTGCGCCGCAACAGCTAAAGTCTGTCTAGTACACTGGACGCGACAAAGCGACCGTTGAAAATCATTAGAAATTTGTGTCAATACGTCATTAATAGAACGCAGCAGCAGTTTTCTGTCGGGGATTTGTCGTGTCGCGCCGCGCTGCGCCGCATCCAGTGTAGACAGCATCACTGATTATAATGAGTTCTATAGTATTATAGACGCACCGCTCGCGTCCGGTGTAGACACGGTGCAACATTGGTTTTAATTTGTTTCACAGAACTAATCGTTGCCTGGGTTGCGTACGTATGTGTGGGGCAGAGCTATCAAAATAGGGGCGTGTTTGTTTTGGTGATTTAAAATGTCAACATTGGCCACCAGAAATCACCCCACCTTTAAATGGATTCTGACACTCCATGATAATTCAAAATGCAGTTTCAGTTTGTTCCATTTTCTTACATTTCAACTTATTTCTTCTTTCCTACAGGTAGACAGAACAGAAAGATGTACATACTATATGGCGCTCTTGTCCTTTATGTGTTTATACTGACGCTGGCTGTAGGAATTAAAAGTATGTTGCCTGCATTTTTCTTCCACCCCACTAATTTGTTGATGTCAAATTTAGCAAAACCTGTTGGATCCCACTCGATGCGATTTTTTTACCATAGAGTTTGTTTTTGATTATGATTCTTCAAAGTCTCTCAGGTCAGCCAAGATGTCACTGATCTTAGACTTTCTCTGAAGACCCTTGAGGCCCCCAAAACTCTGCAATTTGGTAAGTAAAGACCACTTTTTCTGTCTTTTGTAAAATAAATTTTTTATGTAGGTGTATCCATATATAAACTGTACTAAAACTACCTGTAATATTAATTTGTCGTCATTTTTCTAATTAATTTATTAATCTTTTCCTCCCAGAAAATGCTCACTTCTCTGAGCATGTGATGCCGGTGCAAGGTGAGGCTCCTCATGACTTGCAGTGAGGTCCAAAGTCTGAGACCACTAGTGAAAATGCTACTAAACTTTCCATTTATATAATTTAATAATAATAAAATATAATTACAAAATATATAATTAGCTTAACAGTTTGAGTAAACAGTTGAATTTAGTTTCTCAGCACTTGAACCTCATGAACTCCACAAGTTTGTGTCAAACCTGATGATCATTTTCTCCAGAATTTGAAATCATCCAAAGAACATCTTGAGTTTGATCAGAGTCACATGATCAGTGTCACAAATGTACTTATTTGATTAGTGACCTAGAAATAGTGCAGAAACATCTTCCTCTTTATTCATGTTACATAAAAAAAAAAAAAGGTTTCCAGGTTTAAATTAAATAATGAATCCCAGATTTTCGATGTGGACTCAGACTTTTGGACCCCATATGTCCTGATCTTTACTGCTTAGCAAATTGTTTATATTGGACTTGGAAACCTGCCTGATTTCAGATTTATTTTTATTATATGTGTTTGTACAGGTCCCTGTCAGGAAGACTGGGTGTTTTATGAAGACTCATGCTACTTTCAGTCTTTAACAAAGAAGAGCTGGCAAATTGCTGAGAAAAACTGTGTGGAGAAAGGATCACACTTAGTGGTTGTCAATGACCTGGCTGAGCTTGTAAGACAGCAACACACTGCATCACAATAATTTGTGGGTGTCTAATTTGAGGTTAAACGTGAGTTTTGTCTCTTTTTAAACCAGGACTTCCTGTCTTCAATCGTGAAGTTGTCTGAGAGCTACTGGATCGGGCTTGTTGAGAAAAAAGAGGGACAATGGAGCTGGGTAGATGGAACAGACTATAGTACTACTGAACAGTAAGAACCCATATAAAATAATGAGAGGAGGTCAATCGGGAAAAACTCCAAGATGTTTAATCTAACTACAGATGTCTGTTTCAGCCACTGGGATGTAGGTCAACCAGATGACTGGGATGTCCGTGTGAATGGTGAGGATTGTGGGCAGCTTCACGCTCGGATAACTGTGGACAGACGGAGGCTGTGGAATGATGCGGACTGTACGCTTTCTTTCCCTTACATCTGTGAGGGCAAACCCAAGAGCCAATGACAAACATCAACTAACCTCCTAAATCACTTACTAAATCACTTCCTTAAGCTGGGCTTTTGTCTCTTTTTCCAATAAAAATATCTAAACTTCCTTAAAACAAGATATAATTATGTGAGAACAAAATTGTAGATAATAGACTTGTCAGAGGATATTCCTTGAATTTGAAGTTGAATTTTTTCCCTAAATTTAAGCACAAAGCAGAACATTTAAGTTAGATTTATGCTTAAAACAAATTACCAATGGGGTAAGACAAAATTAACTTTACTTCAAGATAAAGTCTCTCTTAATATATAAGGACATTTTGCTTCTCAGGTATTAGAAACCAAGACTGAAGAAAATTATTTTTACAGTGTGTACTACATAAAATATTATTTAAAAAATAAATGTTACAGACTAGTATCCATACAGGATTACAACAATTTTGTTTTTAAATACTTTACTTGTTTTAAATACTTTAAGTATGTTTGTTTAATTTATAAGAAGTTATATTACTATTCTGTGTCAATAATTGCATATAAATGTACGTAACCTGCTTTAGCTACAAAAATAATTTTTTGAATCAGTATCTTTGTCTTTTTAAACAAGGTAAAAATTGCAGATAGATAAGACTAATATGACTTATTTTTAAGAGAATATATAAGTTTAAATAATTGACTAATTGTTTTTACTTGTTTAAAACACAAACTGCATGAAACAAGAAGAACTGTTTGCCAGTGGGAAAAAATACATTTAAAAACTTAATTCTGATCAAACTTAATTCTTAATATCTATTAAGATATGTATATAGAATATAGAATTTTAATCACATGAATTTGCATATACTATTAAAGAGTCTGTCTGCTATGAATTAAATATCGGTTGGCATGAACAAAAATAAACTGTTAGATGATATACCATTGCTATCTTTAATGAGACTTGAGGGACAGTCTTAAACCTTTATCAAGTTTCAGTTCATTTGCAGTTTTCACTAGGATAGTGCTCGTGTTCTGGGTTGTAACCCGCTTGTGCAAAGCATTCGGCTGCTTTTCTATCACATTCACAGATGAACATCTCACAGGGCCGATTCTTGTCAGCTGCAAGAAACAAAAGACAACAGTCTAGTCTAAATATGTGCCACAATCCAGATGCAGTTCAGGTCTCAATTACTAACAGAGCTTGTAGATATAGTCTTCTTTAGTACAGTCTGTCCTACTGAGTGTAGCATCTTACCATTGCAGGTGACTTTCATTGCCTCTTTGTCACATGAGAATGAATAGACTTCAGTGTAAGGGTTGTCTAAGATACCCCAGCAGTCTTCATGTTGCCATGAGTCAGAATAACACCGATCATGCACCTCACAGCACCTAGAGGGATAGAGAATGCAGTAGACATGATTCGAAAGTTTGTCGCATTCACCTTTTGATCAATAATTATTATATTTTAGGATATTTGTGTTGCTTGGCTGCTGTGGAAAAACTAAAAATTTAGCTAGCTTCTATGGATAAATTGTTCATTGATACACATTTAATATTCATAATGCACTTAATTAATATTCACATTACTATTGTGCCGAGATTTTTCTGAAACATCTCCTTAAAAAGGTAAGGTTTAAAACTATTTGACTGTAGTAGTATTTATTTTATTTTATTTATTAATTTTTTTTTTTTGTAACGCATGCTGCCTACAAAAATAAATTAATTTGTGCAACATGCAGCTTTGAATATTTATAAACTATGCACTAAACTTCTCAGCTTGAGAAGGCTGAAGTGTGACTGACAAAACGGATTCAAATGATTAATTCAGTGTCTCTATAACCGGTTTAAATCGGACCTGTCCAGTTCATCCACCGGGGTGCCTGAGCCTCCCTTTCCACAGTAGCATCCGTAGTCTGCATAATCCAGTGCAGGCCAGCTATCAGGGATGTTACAGAGGATCATAGCCCTGAACTGCCACAGCGCGCGGTAGTCTAGAGTCGCCAGCACTGTTAAACAGTGATAGTTTATCAGTGCTTCATACTGATTAGCAATCTAATGATGAAATAAAATCAAAATGTTATGTAAACAACTATCTTAATCAACAACTGTTCTGTACTTACCAAACTGTCTAAAAAAGACAAAATGCTTCCGAAGATTTAGAATATAGTACATATGAACCACTTTTAGTTTATAATTACAATTTTGTGCATCCTTTTTGAATCTTGACAGCTTTTGTCATTATATGGAAGGAGTGGCCAGGGTATATTCTTTAGAAGAAATCCACTGTTCAACAAATCTGTTTGACAGATAGTCAGATACAGGTAAGTCACACAGGTTTAAAATGGCATTGATGAAGGATGACAGAGTTTTAAGTTTTGGGTCTACTGTACCATTAAATTGGCTGATTTGTTTCTGACAGACACCATTCATAGTGCACTGCAAACTGCACTATTCAATAGAAGCAGCATACACTATATGTTTATGACCAAAATTAATCTAATAAAATGTTTAATTCACCATCCGTCTCAAGCCTACGATACACAGGGCAACTTTTTGAGCAATGTTGCTGTCAACGGGCAACCAGGTGAGACACAGGGCCCACAGCCGATCTAAAGTATCCAGATAGAAATTTGTTGCCCGTTCTCAATGGGAAAGTGCCCAAGCAACATTGCTCAAAAAAGTTGCCCCGTGTATCATCACCTTTATAAAATATTTTTGAAATGTGTATAGCAGTTTCATATGACTGGTTTGTTTCTGCTTCATCCAGTGATCAGTACACTGGTGAACTTGTAGAGTCCAGGGAGCACGGGATCAGTTGAAACATAACCAGTTTAACCAATCAGGTTTAATGACCAATAATAAAGGAGTATACCTTACAGCATTCTCATAACATATTTTATCTAATAAAATATGTACATGTTTATTAGTTAATAGTTCAATTATTGGACTGACTAATAAATAAATGTTTTTTTTTGCAAATTATATTCAGTATCTCTATATGTTAAACATTTGCTTTGCATACATAATAAAATATAATAAATTAAAACAATAAGCTGGAGTTGAATAGTAGAACACATCTTAAGTATACTCACAGGTGGGCAGACTCACACTCAGGATCACGACAGAGAGGAAGGTGTTCATGGTGAAGACTGAATGAACAGGTATTGGCCAATTATTTATAGGTCTATAACTTATTTATATAACCTTGATGGGCGGGGCACATTGATAAGCTAACTTTGTGAATTATACACGTAACATATGTTAATAAATGCGCATGCATGTACACACACAAGCGGCCAAACATACAGTTGCTGGTATTGTTACAGTTTTGTGCAAGTTGAGTGTATTTACATACACTTATCTATGTTTGTGTGTGTGTGTGTGTGTGTATGTTTTGATCTTTGCTGGGATTGTTACAGTTTTGTGCAAGTTGAGTGTATTTACATGTGTGTGTGTGTGTGTGTGTGTGTGTGTGTGTGTGTATGTTTTGATCTTTGGGAACATCAGCATGTGTTTTCAATTTGCACAGCTGGTACAAGAATTCAGTTTTCTCGAAAAAGCAGAATTTCATAAGGCTTGGAAAAAGTTGCAAAACAGCTGTCAGCACACAAAAGTGTTTTTTTGTTTTGTTTTTTTTAATGACCAAAATGACAGCAAATAACACAATTTCACTTATTACAGGGTATTTTGTTGCTATATAGTGGTGTGAGAGTGACCATGAATGCAGTAAGAGTGATGAGAAAGCTGCTGATGTCTTTGGAAGCTGAGCTGCAAACACTCGAGGATAGATGATTATTGGAGGCGTTATAAGGTGCTTGAGCAAAACACTCCGCTGCAGTCTTGTCACACTGGCAGACGAACATATCATAAAACTAACGACATTATTAACTGTCTTGATATTTACTTTGAAAGCTGATGCTCGCGATTATGGTAAGGGGCGTTACATTTCCGACCCTGCTTGTGGCGCAGTCAGAGCAGACTGCGCTTGTCAAATGAGGGGGCTTTGTTGAAAACGACGTGTTTGAGAGAGGCGGGGCATAGAGGACCTACAATAATGTACAGTATTTGAAAAATAATGTGTTTTTTGAACATTAAAGCATGTCAACATATTCTGTTACACCAAATACACAAAATAATGATCTTTAAAATAGCATCATATGACCCCTTTAATATTAAAGTTTACTAAACTGCAAGTTCATCATTACAAATGTTTAATTACAAATATATTTGAATACATGCCATACAAATTTTAATAGAACTTACCATAAATGCTTGTCAGTACATTCAAAAGTACACATTTTAAAGAATATAGACATAGCCTAATTATTAAATTACATAAAAAATTTACTTACGTCCTACCTAAGTGGCTCAAAAAACATTTATGGTCAACTAATTGCATTTAATATATAAGTTTGAATTTTCTACATTTTCATTTAATTTAAATTGACATGCAATTAGGTGTCTGAAACTTTACATAGTTTGCAGTATATTTTCTGTACTCTTTAAAAATGCTCAGTCTTATATATTTTAGTCTGGTTCCTCATGACTTGCAGTGAGGTCCAAAGTCTGAGACCACTAGTGAAAATGCTACTAATCTTTCCATTTATGTAATTTAATAATAAAAAAATATCATTACAAACTATATAATTAGCTTAACAGTTTGAGTAAACAGCTGAATTTAGTTTCTCAGCACTTGAACCTCATGAACTCCACAAGTTTGTGTCAAACCTGATGATCATTTTCTCCAGAATTTGAAATCATCCAAAGAACATCTTGAGTTTGATCAGAGTCACATGATGAGTGTCACAAATGTACTTATTTGACTAGTGACCTAGAAACAGTGCAGAAACGTCTTCCTCTTTATTCATGTTACATTAAAAAAAAATTGTTTAACATTTAAAAAAAAAAACATAAAACTTTCTGTTTATTTCCAGGTTTAAATTAAATAATGAATCCCAGATTTTCGATGTGGACTCAGACTTTTGGACCCCATATGTCCTGATCTTTACTGCTTAGCAAATTGTTTATATTGGACTTGGAAACCTGCCTGATTTCAGATTTATTTTTATTATATGTGTTTGTACAGGTCCCTGTCAGGAAGACTGGGTGTTTTATGAAGACTCATGCTACTTTCAGCCTTTAACAAAGAAGAGCTGGCAAATTGCTGAGAAAACCTGTGTGGAGAAAGGATCACAATTAGTGGTTGTCAATGACCTGCCTGAGCTTGTAAGACAGCAACACACTGCATCACAATAATTTGTGGGTGTCTAATTTGAGGTTAAACGTGAGTTTTGTCTCTTTTTAAACCAGGACTTCCTGTCTTCAATCGTGAAGTTGTCTGAGAGCTACTGGATCGGGCTTGTTGAGAAAAAAGAGGGACAATGGAGCTGGGTAGATGGAACAGACTATAGTACTACTGAACAGTAAGAACCCATATAAAATAATGAGAGGAGGTCAATCGGGAAAAACTCCAAGATGTTTAATCTAACTACAGATGTCTGTTTCAGCCACTGGGATGTAGGTCAACCAGATGACTGGGATGTCCGTGTGAATGGTGAGGATTGTGGGCAGCTTCACGCTCGGATAACTGTGGACAGACGGAGGCTGTGGAATGATGCGGACTGTACGCTTTCTTTCCCTTACATCTGTGAGGGCAAACCCAAGAGCCAATGACAAACATCAACTAACCTCCTAAATCACTTACTAAATCACTTCCTTAAGCTGGGCTTTTGTCTCTTTTTCCAATAAAAATATCTAAACTTCCTTAAAACAAGATATAATTATTTGAGAACAAAATTGTAGATAATAGACTTGTCAGAGGATATTCCTTGAATTTGAAGTTGAATTGATTTTTATTTTTTTAATTTAAGCACAAAGCAGAACATTTAAGTTAGAGTTATGCTTAAAACAATTAGTAAGACAAAATTAACATTACTTCAAGACAAAGTCTCTCTTAATATTAATTTCTAAGGAAATTTTGCTTCTCAGGTGAAATTATGGACATTTAGATGTTTTTATTAGAAAACAAGACTGAAGAAAATAATTTCTTACAGTGTGCATGTACTACATAAAATATTATTATTTCAAAAATAAATGTGACAGACTAGTATCCATACAGGATTAAAACTATTTTTTTTAAATACTTTATTTTTTTTTTAACACTTTACGTATGTTATATTACGATTCTTTGTCAATAATCGCATATAAATGTACTTAACCTGTTTAAACAACAAAAATATTTTTTGTTGTTTAAAGGTCAAAATTGCAGATAGATAAGAATAATATGACTTATTTTTCAGACAATATATAATAAGTTAAAATAACTGACTAATTGTTTTTACTTGTTTAAAACACAAACTGCATAAAACAAGAAGAACTGTTTGCCAGTGGGAAAAAATACATTTAAAAACTTAATTCTGATCAAACTTAATTCTTAATATCTATTAAGATATGTATATAGAATATAGAATTTTAATCACATGAATTTGCATATACTATTAAAGAGTCTGTCTGCTATGAATTAAATATCGGTTGGCATGAACAAAAATAAACTGTTAGATGATATACCATTGCTATCTTTAATGAGACTTGAGGGACAGTCTTAAACCTTTATCAAGTTTCAGTTCATTTGCAGTTTTCACTAGGATAGTGCTCGTGTTCTGGGTTGTAACCCGCTTGTGCAAAGCATTCGGCTGCTTTTCTATCACATTCACAGATGAACATCTCACAGGGCCGATTCTTGTCAGCTGTGAGAAACAAAAGACAACAGTCTAGTCTAAATATGTGCCACAATCCAGATGCAGTTCAGGTCTCAATTACTAACAGAGCTTGTAGATATAGTCTTCTTTAGTACAGTCTGTCCTACTGAGTGTAGCATCTTACCATTGCAGGTGACTTTCATTGCCTCTTTGTCACATGAGAATGAATAGACTTCAGTGTAAGGGTTGTCTAAGATACCCCAGCAGTCTTCATGTTGCCATGAGTCAGAATAACACCGATCATGCACCTCACAGCACCTAGAGGGATAGAGAATGCAGTAGACATGATTCGAAAGTTTGTCGCATTCACCTTTTGATCAATAATTATTATATTTTAGGATATTTGTGTTGCTTGGCTGCTGTGGAAAAACTAAAAATTTAGCTAGCTTCTATGGATAAATTGTTCATTGAGTAGTAGTAGTAGTAGTAGTAGTAGTAGTAGTAGTAGTAGTAGTAGTAGTAGGAGTAGTAGTAGCAGCAGCAGCAGCAGCAGCAGCAGCAGCAGCTTAATACATGGCTCAAAGCACCTTCTCAAAACAGTTCTGAAGCATGCTTTTTGTTTATGTTTGCTGACAGACACGGACAGTGTTTCCCACAGACTTGCAAATTCAAATTCATTCTCTGCCGGCAGGAGGCGCTGTTGGAGCCGCGATATAGCGGTTTCCCCGGTAACGGCTGTAATCAAATACAAAACCCTAGGAAAGACGAAATGAAACGACGGCAAAGCTTTTCTGAAGACGGTCGGTTCTTTTCAATTATACATTAATATAAAAACACCCGCGCTACATTTTAATTTTGAAACGTGCACTGCTCAGTTTATTCAACAAAGTAGAATCCTTTTGGAAAATCTATTTGTGGCGGTCAGTTTTGATTCTGTGACAGACCGCCACAAATAACTAAATGTATGGGAAACACTGGACACTGCTATAAGTCAAATGTCCATAATTTAAGTGATAACAAAAATAAATAAATAAAAAAGTACTCATATTAGCGGTGAAATGTCGTCCGATTATGTCAAACGTCATATGCTCACTCACTGGATGTCATAACAACAAATGTCATGAAGGAAAAGTTTCAATATCTCGCCTTCGCTTTAATTTCGGACCATCTCCAAAAATCCATTAAAAAACTAAACATATGATTTACAAGTTTAACATGCGTTTATCAAAGTAGGAAATAATTAGTGTTCTTGAAATA